CTCTCTCTCTCTCAGGCACTCGAGTCCTTGGTCTCCAAAATTTTCTAGCTTTTAGTCCCGTCCGCTGCTTCCATGAGAGGGAGATTGCCTACTCCATAGCCCGCCCATCTTCTCATTGACGGGGCCGCTACTGTTAAATACTTCAATTCACACGCGCATCACAGAGTTACCCGCCTTGAGGCAGGCCGCTTCCCACTCCAACTTGCGGACGAATCTACCACCCTAATCACAGAACGAGGCCTGCTTCCCAACGTCGGTATGTCCTACGTCAGCCCCCCTCTCGTATAACAGCTACTCTCGCAGAATCTTGATACCCTTACCATACCACGCAAACATGGCGATTACCACATTACATTTGAACAACTGGATACATTTTTCAATCCGCTATCTAGCTCAAAGACCATCACAGTCTCACCCAAACAGCCATCACCACCGCGACCACCACTGCTTCCCCCTCCACTGGCAGCCATCGCTACTACCACAGATCCACCCCTCAACCTACCCACCACCATGACTTATGATGAATTCCACCGAAACAACGGTCACCTCAGTCGCAAGGCACAACTATAAACCTCGCTAAGTCTCGGAATATCACTCTAACTCACAAGCCGTCCATACATGTTGACACGAACGCCTGAATGTTAAACCCAGACGAATGGCAGCATACATTCGCCCCAAGGTTCTAGATAAGCCTAAATGCTGAACGGGAATTATTTTAGTGCTGTAAATAGCAGACATAAAGATACTGAAGAACAAATCTTATTTTATTTTGCAAATTGCTCGTTCGATACCGAAGGTAGTGTGCTACTCTCGGGACGAGTCAACTCCTCCCTCAGAGTATAAACCAAACTTGGGTTTTCCCGGGACTTAGCCCGTGGTCCCACAAACATGTGGTCAATAACTGAACCACAATTTTCACCCGATTTCTTGATAGTACAAATATGAACCAATATTCTCAATAAATGATAACCAATTCTGTTCATAAGTTTCTAGAAGATCCCAATAGGTTATGGGCGATCATCGACCGGATGAAGACTCTGTTCTACAGATTGATGCAGAAGTCCCACTACCACCCACCCCCAACGACGAAGGCTACGCTACTCCTCCGGAACGCTTACCAACCGACAGGACTGCACCCCTTCCCCGCCGACCACGCCAACGCCCCGAAGCATACCCCTTTACTCACACCCCTGTGATTACCAACCCACCCAAACTCTCCACGATGTTATCCACCAACGATAAACACACAACCAAATGGACATGGAACATCCTAGACTATCTGGACACCAGTACGATACATAGAAAACAGATCCTTATTTAGCCGCCGCAACCGAATACACTACTGATCTCCGACCACTGCTCGACTATGACGTTAGATCGACTAACGACATGGCTGCGGCACAATTTGCTAACTGTCCAGAAGGAAACTGGTGCATACCAGAGAGCCCACCAGATCATTCTTCGCTTTCTTTCCACAACCACGGACTTCTCTCCATAATGATACGTTGCTTTCATACGTTGATCCGTAGAATTAAACACCACTCTACAAAGGACAAGAAGAACATTAATCACGCTTACCTTCGACGCTTCCGGCGCAAAGACGATGAGGCACTCCGAGAATGGGCTTTTCGATGCGAACTCCTTTAATAAGAACGCACAAGAACAGGGCACTTCTTTCTCCAACGACTACGCACAAGATTTATACTTATCTGGTCTTCCTGATTCCTATCAGGAACAGACCAAAGGCTATCTTCTCGGTCATTCCACTGCCACGCGACGTGCCATTTACATTTAAGATCTTTGTCTATACATTGAAGAATGGGAGTCAACAAACTGACTGCTCCTACCGCTATAACCACAACGCCAGTTGCACCCACACACCGCCAGTTCCTGGGCTACGTGTGCTGGTCCACACAGCACCACTCCGGCCGATGCACGAAAGTCTGTGGCAAATGTGAGGACAAACAGCACACCGCACGAGACTGCAAATCAACTGCACTATCTTGTACCAACTGCAATCGTCAAAATGACTTGGCAATCGTATGTAGTAAGTGCGCAAATAAAATCAATTTTCCCTATGCTCTGTCTATTCCCCAACTCCCCCCTCCGGAATACGTTGTAACCCGAATCCAACACACAGACAACAATACGTCACTACCACACCAGGCCCCTCTCCTCATAGACGGGGGCGCAACTGTTAATTACCTCAACACCCATGCTCGTCACCGACTTATCTCCATGGAGCAAGGTCGCTTCCCACTTCAACTGGCAGACGAATCAACCATCACCCACAAATCGTCCATCCACGTTGACACGGCGACATTTTGACTTCCTCTCCGAACGAGCATATGGAAACCCTCTCTGTTCCGACATATACAAATTAACCAGTACAGCCACCAAAATGCCACACTCGCCATGGTCATCCCCCTTCGTCCCTGTGCAAAATGGTGGACGGCAGTAAGTGCTCGCTTCCAATGTGACCCATTTCTTATTAAGAATACCGACTCAACATTTCTCCGTCACGGTACAAACATCGTCGAAAAACCATCCTGGCTTTACACAATCGTTGCCCTCGTCGGACCACTTCACACAGCTGTTCGCCACTTCCCGGCCCTTACCGCTGCCATCATGCATGCTCGAGCGAATCCAGAATATGAGAAACATTGTCCCGTATGCATCGAAGCCAAACTCAGAGCAAAGGGCGTATCTCATTCCTCCACTGACACCATATATGGCCCTGCAGAGAAGCTCCATATAGACTTACAGGGTCCCATTCCCAGGGACCGTGACGGCAATATCTACGCATTAAATATGGTGGACAAAGGATCAACCTTCGGGCTCCACAAAAACCTGCCCACTAAGATGCCATTAGAATAACATGTCGGCAAGCTTCTCACACGCATACCGCCCCATTGGAAGCCTCACACTCTCACAGCTGATCGTGACTCTGTCCTCCAGAGTGCCATCTTGAAGGACCACTGTACATCTCTCGGCATACAACTCCGAGTTACGCCCCCCCCCATACCCCACAAATGAATTCCATCGTCGAACGGCAACACGCGACCCTCAACAACTTGGTTCGCTGTCTCCTTCTCGAGAACGACATACCTCTCCCTCTATGGGGCTTTGCAAAGGCATTCGCCGATACCCTCCGCAACCGGACCCCACCGAGGAACTCCAAGCTATTCTCACCTAGCTGTTCTTTCCACACATGCGATTCGGATGCGTCGTCGCATATAAAATCCACAAAGCTTCCGGTACCCCCAATCTCCACAAATAAAGCCCCCAATGTGGCTTCGGTGTCTTACTTGGTTATACACTCCACGGCACCAACGACACATTCAAGATCCAGAGTTTCTCAACCCAACAGATCCTCCACAGCCGAGATGTTCAATTCTTCACTGAGGAACGCCCTCAATGGTCGTCTTCCGGGAAACATGTCACCCGCAGTTTCACACCATCGTCCTGGGTTATGCTCCCCGGCTGGGCTACTGCTTCTCGCCACATTGCCGTTGATATCCCCTTTATCCCTCCTGTTCTCTCTCCCATACCCCTACCGCCATCTGTGCCCCCAGCGCCTACCCCCATCGCCACACCTCAGACGACTAACCCGCACCCTGTACCTCCAGTACCTACCCCCATCGCCATCCCGCCCCGGACTACCGCTGTCCCTCTATCCCCACCTATACTCCCGGCCCCTTCCCCTATCCCCCTACCCCGGGCGCCTACCAGCGATCACGTCCCCAGCGATGATATACCCCCCGTTCCTTCTCCTCTCCCACTCCCCCCTATCATCCCCCCACCCCCAGTCGCCATTCCATTAGCTTCATCCACGCCATCTCTCCCGGACATTACCTAGGATTTCGCCTTCAATCTCAACTTGGCTCCAGACACAAACGTCTACGACCCTGGCCCTGCTGCCGACTTCTCTGATTCCGTCAAAGCTCAGATCGCTCTTCTTCAACATGACCACCAATCATGCGATCCCCACAATGTACCACGTGTTCCAAGATTGCATCTCAGAGACGGCACCTCGCACACCGCCAACACCAACTAACCCACAGCATACGAACCGTTTCACCTACATCTAAGCCTGAATTTACTCTACGTAACGCTATTGATATACTCGATGACATTGTGCCCAAAAGTATCTCTAAAGCACGCGCATCCGCCGAATGGCCGTCCTGGTCCGAAGCTATCGACCGCGAACGCAGTGTCACTCTCGTAACCAGTTAGCCGACATCATTCCCTTGTTCTCCGTCCCACCTCAGGCTAAAATAATCCACTCTAAGTATGTGTTTACACGTAAACACGACGAAAATGAAGCTCTTACCATTCATAAGGATCGCATGGTGGCGAGGGGTGACGAACAACTCCATGACGACTCCTTTTGGGACACATCGTCATCCACCACCCTACGGACCTTCCTGGCTATGGCCGCATTCAAAAACAAGACTGTCCATCAGTTCGATGTCAACACAGCCTACCTATGCTCTAAGCTCGATACCCCAGTCTTCATGTACCCTCCCAAGGGCAGTGTTGAATTGGGCCACTATCCACCGAACACCGTCCTTAAACTGCTCCGCGGTCTCTACGGCCTGAAACAGGCCGGCCGCCTATGGAATTAGGATATTGGGCGTACACTCTGCCACCTCGGATTCCGCCAGAGTGCCCAAGACGAAAATATTTGGATCCATACATCTCGCGATATCATCCTTCTTGTTTACGTTGACGAAGTAGTCCCGGCAATCACCCACAACTCCGACAGTGCCGATTGGCTATTCATCCAGTTATCCCGCACCTACAGCATGAAGAATCTTGGATCAGCTCACCATCTTGTGGGCCTCCGTATAGTCCAACAACCTTTCGGCTCCATCGCTATATTGCAAGATGCATCATACATCGAGCGAATGCCCTTCACTTTCCAGGCTTCTACTGCCCTGCCCAAAAACACTCCCAGCTCCGGCGCCCACCCAGGTACACTCACTGGCCCTTTATTTCATGGCAAATACCGCAAGCTTCTCGGAGCTCTTGGCTTTGCCGCCAACATGACACGCCCTGACATCGCGTGTGCTCTTATTAATCAGCTTGCGACATTTAGCATCGCGCCCATTACTTCCCACTACGATGCCCTCACTCGTATTCTCCATTACCTGATGACTACCAAGTCCCTGGCTCTCGAATACACGGTTGCTCCTGACTCTCGACCTCTTGATCAGCACATAACTGCGTTCACGGATTCCGACTGGGGCTCCTGCCCCCTCACACACAAGTCCCACATGGGCACCATCATTTGCATCAATAACACTCCTCCATTGGAGGAGCCAGAAACAAAAGACGGTTAGTATTAGCTCCACGGAAGCAGAATACATTGCTGCTTATGAAACCACAAGGGACACCGCTGGGTTCGCAACGTTCTCAATGCTCTCGGACAGACAACCTCACACCCGACTCACCTCCACATTGACAACCAATACAATCAGCCATAAGGGCCGCACTCGGCACCGGCACGGCGAAGGGACTAAAACATATTGAGGTCCGTGCACACTATATACGTGACTGTGCACACCAAGGGATGATCAATATCAGTTACATCAATACATATGATAACCCTGCTGACCTCTTAACCAAATGTCTAGCCAAACCCAAGCATGAATACTTTACACACAAAATCCTTCTTCTACTTACACACAGTTTGACACACAAAATCCTACTTCGGTTTCTGGGGGGGTCTCGGGACGAGTCAACTCTTCCCTCATCATACAAACCAAACTTAGTTTTCCCCGGGACCTAGCCCTTGGTCCCAAAAACCAAGTGGTCAATAACTGAACCACAATTTACACCCGATTTATTGATAGTACAAATATGAACCAATATTCTCAATAAACAATAAACGATAATCAATTCTGTTCAGAAGTTTCTAGGTCCCAATAGCTACGCCAGCTTTATTTTATTTTAGCTTCAATACGATAAGTATGTTTGCCTCTTTTTGATACTCGGGGACTCTACCCTATAATTGCACCATGATTCGGTTTTTAAAATAATACTTCGCTGTGGAAAGTGTTCAAGAGAAGTAGTAAATTCACAATGAACATCTGATTATGCTTACATTCTTGTATAAGCCCTTGATATTGCAATGTAAATAGCCAAGGGCCTATCGATTGGCCTGATGCTGGCCATCACTTGCGCCATACTAAGACACGGAATAGTAAATGTATTTCCATTACCAGTTAACGGATATTTGTACGATTTTATTAACGTCGAGGTATTTTCCAGAATACAGCTGTTTCCTAAAACCAGCTCTCGCATTGTATTCGGAATAACTGAAGACTTCCCCATCAGAGATGATCGACTACAGCTCTATATGACGCAGAGAAGTAGTGGATATGCATATGCATCTCGCGAGTATTTCAGCGCACGACCTACATATTCGAGGCTAATAAATTTCGGCCTAGTACTCGTCTCCTCTCAGCAATTACCACTACTATACGAGCTATGAGGTGGGCGGGCTACAACTCACCCTCGTGGAGTCCAGTAACTTGCACGCTGCGCGAATTAAATTGAAATGAAGTTCTTTTGTTTAGGTTCATGTTTCGTGGTTTTGGGGTTTCTCCTTAGAGACTCTCGATGCGCCTTTGTAAGCGTCTTTTGAGGCCTTCAACACCCGAATCGGTCTCGAATTATGTTCATCCACTGTGAAGTATACATAGCTTGCCTACTTCTCAACTCATAAATATAAAATCTTGTCATATTAAAGCTTTGAGAATTCCGGTTTGCCTCAAATAATTTCTGATAAACAGCGGAATGATAAGATAGAATTCGGAAGTATGAGTGCCTGATTGATGCTTCCGGCCGTACAGAGATGCACATATTTAAACTAGCCGTCCAAAGGGTGTCAGACTAACCATGTTTCTCGAACAGGACATGTATCAAAGGTATAAATATCGATAAATCGGCCGCTGAGCTCAGCATATTTTCTCCTTTTGCACTTCACCCACCCTAGCAGATAGGAGGCGTCGCTCTTCACCGATGGTTTCTCCTTAGAGGCTCTCGATGACGAGCCTCTTCAAGAATTTGCAAAGACGTTTACTTCTCAACTCACATAAATGACATCTTGCCATATAAAAGCTGAATATTAGTAATACAATTGCGCTTCCGATTGAGCGATGAAGGAGAGCTATCTCAATTCTATTCAGAAAGTCTTATTGGTGTCCCATATACTCTATATACATTTGTTGTTTTATCCACTCAATATTTGAAGTTCAAAAGATTAACTATAGTAGTCAAATAACACAAAAACCTCGCTCACAGAAAATAGTCGTTTAGATTTCGCTGCGCCTCGCTAGTACTCGCTCATTCAGCCCCTTCCAACATCAATTCTAAAGTTGTGGCTTCGTGGAGACTTCTACGGCTACATTTGTACATCGGGATAAAACCGAGGGTCTAATGGAATAAATCGTGGATCTGCTGACAGAGTACCCGTGATCGAACTTTAGGCGCATATAGAAACATATATATACAACGATGTGCACACACCTCTTTCTTGTGTTCCCGCTTCAGATCCGCGCAGAGTATTGATAGTAGTTTCCAGTGCGCATTTTTGAGCACGAGAACTTTCCTTGCTTTGATTGATATCCACTAGACTTGGAAGTGACGGGAAGTTCTTTTGCATATGTTTTACATCAAGCAGTACTTCTTTCTCGTATTTCACGTATTTTAGATCCACTTATGCCTTTGAAGTTTTGTTGATGAGGTTAAAATATATGTATAACCGACTGATCAGTTAAGTATATACAATGCAAAATGTACAAGCCACAGGTATATCTATACACTTACAGAGAAATTTTTATTTCTATTATACACACTTACATACACACTTACCTCTTCGAGATGTCTTTGCTCCATCGCAACAATATATGCATCTTTTTATCTCTCTCTATCAATGTTCAGATTTCGGCCCTCAGTCATCCCTGGACTGCCTCATGCTCCTCTAGACTAGGTGGAGTCTCTAGTTTATCCGAAAGCTTTGAATAGTATCGTGGAAGACTGCTTTTGCAGGCGCAGCGACTGCCAAGTTCTCACGCTCAGTCCGCAACTAGTGACAATTGTTGACTACATACAAAGATACATGAGCTAGAGATAAATTGACATATATACATATATGCAGGATTATAATACAGACGCACATCATAATTTATAAAAGTCAGACATAAACTCTACCTCGTCCCTGTGCTCTAACTCAGTCTTTCGATTGTCTTCCTGCATTGTTGTAATCTCCAATTCTAAATCTCGCTCGGCCTGCAACAATTCGATATCCTCCTGGGTTGGACGCGAGTCTAATGTCTCCTATAGCTTTAACACTTCGACCTGATGTACTGATTGTTCGTTTGCTGATCTTTCTAAATGCGTTTATGCAATATACAAGCTGTAGTTGTATCAAATGAAATCAGAAGCTATTTGAGTCACCCATAAACAAACTGTCGGTAATAATACACCTGTACTAGTTCCTCTTCCAAAGTGTCAGCTTTACTTTTGCGTAATTTACAATTTCCCCCTTTTAGGTTGTCGATTTCGATTTCATGTGGTATGTATAAATAATGGAGATCGCCTAAAATCATTTCTTCCTCACTTTTCTCTTGTGTACTGGTCTTCTCATTGATAATTGAAGAATGTATTTCCTCTCATGTATCAAGCTACAATCGTTGAGGTATAAATAAAAAAACACATTTGAGTTAAATAAAATGAATTAATGCGAACTTAATTCACACGCGCAGGTTTGGACGATAACTCCTTCCGGCCATTCTGTGCTCTGGATTTCGTCGTAAATTAGCTCAGTCATGCTGCAGCCATAATATACCAGAATCAACGGTGGCCGACATCACGTACATCAACCATCGTTAAAATCCTACAGTTCATTTCGGCCTCCCAATACTGCCGATTATCTCTTCAATGGGGGTCTGTCATCGGTGCTACGGCAATGCCAGTTGACACACAGAAGCCTTATATGTTAATCCTGAAATTTGGAACTACGTTATTTGTGGAACCAAAGAATGTTTTTCAGGAGTACTCTATTTTTTCAACAATCGGGCACTATGTACTTCCGGGAAGAGGGTGAAACACCCCACTCCCCGGATGTAGTACTTCTATACGGAAAACCCGAGGGGGGGGGTTTTTTTTTTGGGTATATGAGAAGTATATTCTGGTCATAGTATTCATCCTATTCCCTTTGTACACCCATAGCCGTCCCACCTTCTCTTTCATCCCTTTGCCTTATGTAGGGTATCATTCTGAAACAATCAAGCGAACGGGTAATTATCCGGCATCCGATATAAGACTAATGTCGCGCCTCGTGCCTCTTAGTCGCACACACAGCAAGGATACAAACGGAATGTACGTGTCCGTGATGACGTGCTTCGGAACAGTACATGTCTGCTTCATTATGGATTGAGCGTCTGACCTCGAAACAAGTGATTTGCATGTCGAAGATATATCACAGAGCCTCACCCGATCGTCAGCCTTAGTCTATTATATATTTAGTTGGTTCAAAATAAAACTACTATAAAACAACGAATGCCGATCTTACGGGTAGAAGATTTTTTAATTGGTCACTTTCTTGTTGGTCTATCGGAGTACCGGAAATCTAGTCACAGGGTATTATACCTAAAAGAGCCACTTCACGCAATATTGAAGTACCCAGATAATGTCAATTCTAAAATGAACGAGTCATCAGTCAAGAGGCGGTACAGTCAAACCTCTTTTTTTTTAACGAAAGAGGTAGACACCTTTGTGTGAGTCAGGACCAACCCAGCCCAGTACTGAGTTGGCTCCATAGGACATCTATGGAGATATTGTAGCTTCATATATCTTTATAATGTTGAGCTCTTAATAGCGTTTGATTTGTGTGTACTCATCTGGCGTATTGTTTGCGTTGAGTATTGATCTCCAGCTGCAGAGGAGTAAATATATTCGATGGTTCAGCATTATTCTTTAGGAAGATTATTTTCTCGTGAAGTCAACAAAGCACAACCCGCACTGAAAATACCCGTATTCTCGATATTAATGGCTTCCTCCGTAGTCATTATCCCGTCTATAATACTAATCTGCAAAATTGCAGATATGTCTATCCACTCTTCTGTTATTTCCGCTGTTTCGCTGTCACTTGGATGATAGACTGGATCAGCTATAGAACAATAAGATTCAAATATACTCACAATACTATCGATGTCGCGTTTCGCATCATCTTTTATTGTCTTCGAGTAATCGGCTGCGTAGTTAATCGACGAACTTTCCGATAGATATGTAGACTTCAACCAGCAATGAGTTTTGTAAGTAATTTGACGTTTGATCCCTATCATTTTACACAAGGGTATTTCCATAGCCTTCTTGTTTCTACTTTTTCCTGTACTGCGTGAACTGCAATTTCTTGGGTTGTCTGGGTTTTAGGATTAAAAGAGTATCGTTTTTTAGAATATTTATTTATTTACATTATTATATATTGTTGATGAGTATATATGTATTTATGTAAATAATATTATTTCTTGTCACAGGTATGATAAATATATATATCTTTTTGGTTAGTAGTTATATCTGCTGCTGACTGAACGCTGATACGATGCACCATGGCTTTCCACCAAAGCACGCGTCAAAACCATGCAGCTTCGTCTAGTACTGCTAAGCCCAGTCCGATCATCATTGGACCAAGTGCAAACAATTCGAACTACAACTCCAGCAGGTCTCCTTCCCCTAGGAGTGTCCGAAATGGTGGAGACGACGGTAGGTGACCAAGTTATATCGCGTGGCGGCTTGAAATTCAGAAGTAGTATCGTAGATATGTATGCATTTTGATCTGGTGTTGTATGTTGCGATTTTTTTTTACCCGACAAGTATGCGATCTCGTTAGAGTTATGCTACTAATACGGTTTCAGCCTCTTCAGCGCATTGGCCAATATTCGCATAAGGTGCTTATAACTATCACTAGTGGTGAATGGCGTCCGTAAATACTATAATTTTACATTCAGTAAGCTGTGATTGTATACGATGCCTGGAAGAAAATTCTACGCACCCTGTGCGTCAAAGTCGCTCAATTCAATTCAAGGCAGCACTTGCTTGAGCACGCTCTTTTTTTGGAACTTTAAGCTGAATTGCACGATCAATATTCACTGCTCCATATACGTATGCGTGTATCCCTACTTGTTTTAATCGCAACACAAGAACTGTACACAAATATAACGACTATTATGTTCGAAGAAAGAACGCATGCAGCGTCAAGACAACATGATCATATAAGCGTTCATATCTGAACCATTGAACTAATTTTGCGGGTCAAAACGCCTGGATTGGTGGTAGTCGCTTATGTTATCTATCATTCAAAAAAATTACGTGTATGAATTATGGCGCGGATGATAGTCACTTATTGTTAGATTTACACTCGAAATAGCAAAGCCGAACATTTTACAAATAGCACGGGTGTAGTTACGTTATAAGCAAGCATGAACAAAAAGACGGTTTTGGTCATATCAACTCTACAGTTGCACTAGATCTTCGCCAGATAATGCGCGTATTTCAATCTTACAATATTGCATTACAAGTGTGATGGGCGTTTATAGATCGGCACTTGGTAGTTACACGCGGGTACATATGTTCATCTGGATGTGCTACTATGTCACGTATGGAGCATTCTCACTATCCCAATCAGAGCTTACACTAACAATATGATGCAGATATATCGTAATCAGATGTCTAAAAAAGGAACATTTTAGTGTAATATAGGACGCTAAAGAAAAGAAAGATCCAAACCTGAACGTATTTGCAGGTGTATTAAGAACTTAAAAGTGTCGAAATGCAGTGTGTACTTTACTCATAAGTACGTAGAGAAAATTTTGAATGTAGAGACATCAGACGTCTCAGGAATCTGAAGATGTGCAGTCTATATGTATTCAAGTGGTGATATTTGTTTAAAGACAAAAGCTCTAGCATAGTATTCGATCATTGCGACTTTAATTGCGCTTCTAAGTTTTTTTTGCACGCTAGCAGCATCCAGTATTTATCTTGTCTAACAGCTCCCACATCACAGTTAATACTTCAACACCCAGGTGACTGACCTGAGACATGATCATGGTGTCAAAACAATTTTATTCCACATCCTCATCGTTTGAATCTGTTGGATGTGCCACTACACTTGAACATTGTCAAAGCATTAACAAGAATATATTTAGAAGACAAATTGCCTGAAAATTCAGTAGATGATACATTTGCTGACAATCATCTACTAGGAGCTGAAACTAAAGTGACAAGGAAGAAACGGCGAGGCCTTTTAGCACAATACTACGGAGATGCATCGCCAAGTCCCGACGTTCGTAAAGCGAAAGAGCGTATCGATCCGTTGGACGTGGGTAAGTCTCATAAGTTTATACAGTAGACTCGCTGTTGAATATCTGATGTATGCATACAACTTTTCGATATCGTATCTTTGTATCGATCCGTTGGACGTGGGTAAGTCTCATAAGTTTATACAGTAGACTCGCTGTTGAATATCTGATGTATGCATACAACTTTTCGATATCGTATCTTTGTACTAAAATAAATAATATATATATATATATATAAATATATATTTATATATACAAACAT